ATTATTTAGAGTGTTGGCATTTTTGAAAACGAAAAAGTCACCGATATCTGGCTCTCTAAAAATCAATCGGTAAATTTTCATCGAAAACGGTGTCAATAGTCACGGGTTTACAATTACAAGCATACGCTCTAAGAAATATGGACGTGAATTCTCAATGGTGTGGAACACCCATACAGGTGTTTATATAATTCTCACCTTATCGATGTCAAATTAGCATTGCCTGGTTAGTGTGGAAAATTCACACTGTCAACGTGAACGATCAACAACGTGTACATGCATACACGATAAGCTAAACGCTGTAGCGATTGATTGTCGATTGATTGTTGATTGATGTCGAAAAAACAGGACAATATAGCATCCTCAAAGTTGACACCGCGTTTCTTGGTGTGAAAGATTTTCTACACTTTCGATGTTAAAATTCACACCGAGTTATTTAACTACGCGGATGTGGTGGAAGGTCATGCCACTGTGAATCAGTGACCGGTTGACTTTTAGAAAGTATGTATAAGCAAATAATCGACTCTTACGCATTAGGAGTGTTTCAACTCAGAAATGTAGTTTCTATAGAAAATCCTTAGGTCGATCGGCGCTTCAATCTTAAAGAGTGAAATATTTTGTCTGATTTCAGATTCAGCAACGGGCGTGATGACGACCGTGACGCTACTACTAATTGCTCTGGCCGTGACGATAATTCGATAAGCAAGATCCGAAAAGGGGAAAAGAAAGCGAACGACGACCTCGTCATAGACACGCCACCGGTGTTGGTGTTTCCTTAATTAACGGACTCGGTTGAAAAGAAAATAAAAGGGAGAAAATTAGGACTCAAACGACATGAAAGACAGACACACTCACACACAGCACACGTGCGCGCGTATAGCACATATACAATTACACGTGACACAAAGACTGACCGGGGTAGTTAGCGTCCGTATTAAATGACGGAGAGTAATTTACGCGTGCCAAGTTAGTGTAGCGACGACAGTCCACGAGTGGCCAAGAATTGAAGGGGCACGAATCCTCAGCGATCTCCCCTTCACGGATCGTGCGTTGTGTGACCCAGGGCTGAGGGGTGAGACGCGCACCACGGGAGGTGGAACAACGAGAACGAGAGGAAAGGGTATTAACAAAGTGCAACGACTATCGCTTTCAGTGTAATATATTGTATAACGCCGTAACAGAATGACGCCAACAACAAATACCAGTGATCTCGTCTACGCGAGAGAGTGCGATCCGGAAACGTGTGTGAGAGTGAGTCGTTATGTTTTTTAACTATATATATATATATATATATATATTATACGGGAGTATTTTAGCCGCGCAACTAACTGACATTTCCGGAATATCAAAACGAAATCGTTCGAGCTTAATACTGAATTAAAGTTTCACCGAGCCAACTAGTTTTCCAACATTTTTTAAACTCACATCCCTCTCCCTTCCCTCTTCCCCTCTCCGAAATAGTTTTCTTCCCTCGTTCGTATGATCGCGATACGCGCGGGTTCTCAATTTCGTCAACACCGTAAAAAAGCGGCCCGACTTTCCGGGGATTCGTCATGCACGATACGTATATCTCGAGGAGAATCGTGAGCGTTAGTCGCGCTTTGAGCAAAGCTAATTTTCCATTCGAATCAGATCCTATCCACTTAGTCACGTGTCTCAGTTTCGACTGCATAGAAGCGTCGGTCGTTTCTATCACTTTTAATTTGAATGCATAGGTGCGAGAAAAGTGCGTGTAGTATCTCCAACATCGATTCCACTTCCTCACTCCGCGACGAACTTCCTCCGCCAAGTACACTTGAAATTCTTCGATTCCTTCCAGCCCGTTCCCATCCTTACCTTCTTATGTACGAAATCATGGATCCCATCTGGATACTTGAGATTAAAACGTCAGATTCGGTGCGGGGGAGTTGCTCTCATCTGGAGAGGCGGTCGAAGAAAGTACGGACAGCGAAGGGGGAAAAGAAGAAAATGGAAAATTTGCGGCACAGAGCGAAACGGGGATATATCGTAACAAGAAATCGAATACTACTTAGTTGCGAGCGTTCTCGAATCAATCCGGCATCGCTCCGGTATTCTGAAAATGCCGCGATTTTTCTTTTCACATTACATGCAGGCACGTGGTGGCCCCCTTTTTTGTGTAATTATAATTCACTCGCTTTCGCGCGCAATGATATAGGATCAGAAATTTCCATTTACTTTCTTCTGGGCACTGTGCAAAATAAATTAGTGCTCTTGCACGCTAAAATTCCCCTTGAATTGGCCCGTGAATTAATAAATAGTTCTAAATCTCGATCAACTGTTGTAAAATCCTTTTTCCCTCGAAGTGTAGGACGCGTGTGTAGATCAAATTATATATATATGTATATATTTTTATTTATGCAATTGCAAAAGAAAGTTTTCATATTTTACTATCTACGTTATCTAGTGGTGCTGTGCTAGTCTGTGGTATGCAGAGGAAAGTCCCCTATTATGAGATATGTTCCCAATATGAGATAGCGGGTTTTCAACCATTCGATTTCGCAAATCTTTTTTCGCAACGATGACACGCATGTCTAAGGGCAATAAAATCATGGGGCAGCCAAACGATGTCTTTTAATTTAACAGAAACCCCGCTATCTCATAACAGGAGTCCATCTTGTAACCGGGAACTCTCGTCTATGTGTATGAAGAAATAAATTAATTTTGATGTATGCGCAATTTACGTTTCTCGCTTCTGACGTCATAATCCCGGACAGCAGCGGCGATCAGAAGTGTTAAGCATATCATTGAAACGTTTCCCTTTGGTTACTTGTTACCGTTTATTACTTCTTACGCGTTAACGATTTATGGAAATAAAAAGGCATGTGCGCTCTAGGAAGTAACTTTCCATGTGCGACACTAGGTATAGCGAGATGTCGAGGTGCATTTATCTCGTAATGAGATTCATGAATCGGAATGAAAAATTTTCCGGCTGAATGCCCACTGGACAAAATCGACAAAGTAAATTACATATTTGCTAAGAGCACCGGATTCGTTTGACACCGTTGCGTCGCGCGATCGATTTGTTTACGTGTTAATTGATCAAATTGGGATTTATTCGTAGGCGGTCGCGAGAGGCCGGCCCGGCCGTGCCGGGTTTTAAGCGGACTTCTAACTACTTAGGAATATCCATTATTCAGCGTACATCTTGTTTAAAGCAACAGGTTCGAGAGAGTCCCTGCACTCGGCGCGCAAAGGAGTTAATGCCCGCCATGGATTAAAGAAGGGAACGGGTCGACTTAGGGATTACGCAGACTTACTCTGATGAGGTCTGTAATCGTATCATTCGCGAGACTAGCGATCTTAAAAGTCATAAGCATTTAACATGAGGGGATCACACGCCTTTGGGGCATCGCAGCGTTTGCAATCTCTGTGGAGATTACTGCAACGAATTCAAATCCCGATCTGGTCAACGCTACGAACGATTGTTTCTCAACTTATTGATTAAAGCGTATTTACTGCGCGCATTTACGCACGAGCGATTAACCAATATTTCTCATCAAAGCGCATTTTCATAGATACATAATAAACAGTTTCTGTTTTCGTAAAAAGAAAATTGTTAAAAGAACAATTAAACGTGATATACTGCGTGGCAATATGTCGATTGCATTCGACGATACGTCGATGGCGTTGAAATGAAATTTTAGACTAATACTGATACTCAAAATCGAAATGATGTATAAATGCCCTAAATTTTTCTTAATAATTTGACTCACTTTCTGTCTTTCTTTTACCAAATGTCTCCTTATTTTATTATATTATATTTTATTATATTTTATTATCTTATTTTATTATATTAAACACTGGCCAGTGGTAAGGTCGACTAAATCTTGCTATCTGTTGTTTATAATATTACTGGTAACCTAAAGAATTTTTTAATTTTTCCTTAATACTCTTACTAATTATTATTGATTTTTTTTATCAGTTCATATACAAAGCTCTTATCAATTTTATATAATTTTGCAGAGAGATAAATGCGAACGCTTTCCTCTCGCGAATACGAACCTGATTGAATTCTATTATGGATACGGTGAATCTTTATTACAGCACTAATAGGCACGTTCTGATGAAACAACATTTAAGAGTTGTGTTACGGATTAAATTAGTAACACGCAAGCGCACTGTTTTGCAATTTTACGTGAGACTTAAAAAACTCCAGGAGAATCGATTTAAATTCCATAGCTTCGCCTACTAAAAATCCGGAGTTAAACAACAATGCAAAGATACGTTCCCTCCGAACGCGTATAAAACCTCCGGAGCTATCACTGCCCACAACGCAAGTAGAATCCACATTGCACCTGTGTATGTACGCGTGTATGTGACTGCATGTGGCGTGATCTCTTGTTTGTAATTCCGGTGCGTAATGCCATTTTCCGTTAGCATCGTTATCGTAGCGATAGAGTTGATTTTCAGAGTTCCTTTAAATCTCAATTTAGAGATACGAATTTAAGAATAAAAGAACTTGTGCTATCAGACTCACGTATCACACGCGGAATCAATGAAATTGAGAGACAGCGGATTAGTCAAAGATAAAAAGGACAAAGGGAATAGTATTCGAGAATTACCTCTATAAGCTCCTGCTATAATCAAACGATTTTAATGGAATTTGGGAACGGCTAAGGGAAAATGGTGACGCGGATTATTCGAATTATCGGTCTAAGGATGCTCGAACGTTGACTCGTCATTGGCGAACCCTGTAAATAGAAGTACACCAGTGATAAGAATTGCACGTAGAGTAAGCTTCGCAGCGATGATAGTGTACGACGTGTCACGTACACCGGCGTCATTAATCCGTTTTTCCGTTTCGCGAAATTCCCGCCTTTCGGTTCTTTCGTACTTTCGTCGTCGTTTCTCACGCGCGGGGAAACGCGCAAGAAGGGTAAATCTTAGCGAGAGATATTTTGACCGTAGCCCCTAAAGTAAAAATGCGGCTCGGCGTGAGGAAGAGGAAGAGAAAGAAATTCGCCGTCTTAGCGTTGTAAGCGCGCGACAAGACGTATTAAACGCGAAGGTATATATGTATACATAACAGCAGATTATAAATATGAAAATACAAATATATAAATATACGAATTACGGGGGACTATATTGGGTATACATATATAAATATATATATGTTATATAATATATATATTATTATAACATTTATGCTTTGCGACGTTGATTTGAATGTTGTTATTTACAAGAAAACCAAAAGAAGCGAGACATTCTTATGAATATGCTCGACATATGTAATAAAAGAAGGGTTACGTAAGAACTCTATGAATCGCGATTGTCTTCTCATCCAGTGCCCCGTTTCTCAGCTTCCCTCGACTTTTAATTCGGATCCTTTCTTTCCACGAACACATCGATGTAAGCAGCGAATATCTCTTTTTTTATTTAATTTTATCTCTTGCTCGCCCGATAGGACGCAGTAAGAGGCAAACGGATACGTTTGATTGTGCCGCGAGTGAAAAAAAGGGAAAGAGCAAGACACTCGCTGCTGCCGACAGGAACGAGGGACGAGCCGTTTCTAAATTAATTGACTCGCTCGTTACGAACAATCGACAATTAATAATTCGTTTATCGTTACAATTTTACTTTCCTATTCTGGTTAAGCACCCAACTCTGCAACCAACCGCAGGTTGAAACGCAACGGATTACGGGGAACTCCGCAAACGTTTCATCCCCCGACGCATGATTCTGTTTGCCACGGGTAAGCTAAATAGAGGGATCGGCGAGGGTGAGAGGAGAGACGGAGGGGCGTGGGGCATCCAGCGAGGTGTTGAGGAAAAGGTACCGGGTGCTCGTAACATTCGGGTCGCGTGGTGAAGCCCTCCGTGAATCCGCGAAGTGAGACGCTATCTACCATCGACGGATTAAATCAGGTCGACTATGTGTTTATGCGGCAGCCGTAGGGGGATGGCATGAAAGTTCAACAACGTCGGATACGTCGGTGGAGCGGAGATAGCGAATAATACACGCCCGCGCTGTATTACGGGGCTCGGGAGGGCGTGCGGGGAATGTGTCAACCTTTGCGCAATATTTCGCCGTTTATTGTCGCGAATGTTGTAACAAGCCGCGACTCGCCGGTCGGCATACTAACCGGAGGATTAATTACGCGTGCAGCCCAAGGCGGCTTGCGGAATCATTTTACGCGTAACACGGCGTCTCTCCTCCCCGCCGACAAGTTACTATCAGTTTATAAGCCCCGTAAGCTCGCTCGGCAGTCGCTAATTAAAACCACGCTATTCCGTCCCGAGAATTGGGACGGGACGGCGGCGAAGTTTAGCGGCGCTTAATCGGCACCGGTTCGTTTTGTTCGGCTTCAATATCCTTGCCCCGCGCGCGCCACGTATTGCATGTTCTCTTTCTACGTCCGTCATTCCATCGTGATTACGCGTCGTGGACCTAGATAGTGCTTGCGGAAATATCGATTCAAGTGCAAACATCCTAACGGTCCAGTTTTCAAGCTTCATTGTCGGAAAGCAGATCTGATTCTCTCGGCAATTATCGTCTTAGCGTTGGTACTCGCAGTAAAACGTGCACTAATTGTACATAAGCAGAACCACTGGTAAAGTGTATGGCAAAATTTCCAAAACCTCTCGTAAAATTCTTGCAAATGCCACGTTGTCCCACGATTACGTGATTTTCACGGTAAGTTTTGAGAGAGAATTCTCTCCGTGCGAAAATCATTATAAAGCCGATATTGTCATTACATATATGGCGGTTTTGTAAAATAGATTTATCGTCACGTCGATTGCCGCGACGAGGTAAAGTTGAAGGTCTATAAGATATTCAGGGAGCGAGCTTGTCACGGTCGAGGAGGAAAAAGAGAAAGACATTTTTTGAAATCTTGATGAGCTGAGTTGCCGGCAAGTAGGCATTGCAGCGAATTATGAATTAAATTCACTTTCTCATTCTCTCATTCTTTCGTCTCTTTTACGTTACTTGATAATAACTACGGTCCATGGCGAGCGGCCGTCTCGCCAGGCATTTTCGTCGGTCATTCATTCGAGCTTCTCTCTCCCCCAACGGCCTGCTTCTCTTTCGTTCAGCCGCATTGTCAGAGTGTTCTTTTCTCCCCGAGAGAATCGCCGGAAAGCATCCGCCGTATCGCGAAATGAATAAGTATGAATTAACCCGGTAAATTTTAATTAATTTCCCAAGAAAATAATATCTTGCTATCAGTGCATGGTCTTAGGCTCAAATTTTCCAAAGTTTTTACTAAAATGTAGCAAGACTATTCAAATCTTTATCACATCTATATTTATAGCATTAATTACATTGACTAAAGTGGCTCCTGCGAGCGGTTAGTACGGGTGCTTTGATGGGGCTGATTTTTATAAATTCGTATGACCTTTTTCATAAAAAAATACCACTTAATGCATTATTGATCAAATGCATTGATATGTTTTTACTAAAATGTGCTAAGTTATATATGCACATTTAAAAACACATTTAAAAATATGTGATATTGCCAAGTCGCAAAGAGCTGTCAAATTTTCTCAAAACATTGTATCGTTTGATTTTACTAATAAGTATTTGCTTGCAGAGATCGGTGACCTTATATACTTAATAGGACATTTGAATCGTTATGGCATTTATTATGTTTATCTCGTTTTCTATTAAGATCTACATTTTCTATAAAATAATATTAATCCTCAAAGTGCTTCTGCATCGGCCCAGAACCCCAATCCCAGTGAGCATCAAGTAATAGTTACATAACATCAATATTATAATTTCCTACTTAACGATGTAAATGTAATATAACATGGGTGTTATATTACATTTATCTTGTGTTGAGTAGGAAATTATAATATTGATGTTATGTAACTGTTACTTGGTGTTTACTGGAATGTTAAAAAATACTTTAACTTTAACATTTTTTTTTTCTTTATTTTATTTCATCGGCGACCGGTTCCGAAATGTCGCGTACTGGCAGATAAAATTTACAACTGTTGTACAACATACTTAAATTTCAATATTTTCCACTCTTGGTCGGTTTATGCAAGAGCCACCTTAAGAAATACCGAAAAGGGAGAATTCAGTGCTTTAACTGTTTTATTATATTTCCTGGCTCTATATAAATAAAAAAATTATTTATCTGCAAAACTTAGCTTTGTTAATTAATCCTAAAGATGGATGAGCAGTAGATTTTTCTGTTAAAAGCCAATGGACGAGGGAACGGAGGAGGCGAAGGTGCACAAGACACGAAGTTACTGCATGTCACGTACGATGAAATGATCGATATAATCGCGCTCCCTCAGCGAGGATTCGTTATCTTGATTATAGCAGAGGGAAAGAAAATGTCTTTACCGTGGACTACCGAAAGTTCCATATACTCTTCTATATTTGATATCAGAAGAAGTTAGCGCGCCATTTCATGCGGATAGTAGACATTTATTTTCCGGAACAGCGAACAAGATATTCCTAACGATGTAGCAATCACCGCTGAGTGAGCAGAATGCCCTAATATAGGGGAATTAGTCATCTTAAATATAGCACAGAAGATAACAGACGAGAGACAGCGACTCGTATCTGAATGCACCCACTGTAATGTTTAATCGCAGATATTTAATAAAATTGTAATAGAAATGTATTGGGCGAAATATCGTAATTTTGTAACGTCCGTTACGTCATCCACGCAGTTCAACACGGTTCCAACTCTTTCTTTTTAATTCAACATGTTGCACTCACTTGCGCCGTCTTTTATGTACTACCGTTTCATAATTTATTATAATTTTTATCAACGTCCGTGTTTTCTTGACCATACCTGGCATCTTTAATAACGCGGAAAATTTATTGCGAAAAATATTACCTCAGCCAGGGTCTGAACCTGGACCTCCCTACACTCTAGGCGGGCGTCTCACCAATTCGACCATCGAGGCATATGATAATATCTGTCGCAATAACAGTATAAAGATGTCTGCGCGTATATTTTCGACTTTTGTGAACTGCGCGGCGATAAGGGTTGTCGGCCGCACATAGAACTGTCGAATACGCGATTTTTAAGCTTTCTCACCCCCCTCCCCCCTTTCCCAATTGAGTGGAAAACGCCATGTTTGAGGTCAATGGTGAGTAATCAACTGATCAGAATTCTTCTATGTCGCCAGCGGTAATTAACAACGTCAGTGTTTTCTTGACCATACCTGGCATCTTTAATAATACAGAAAATTGATTGTAATTGGTGAGACGCCCGTCTAGAGTGTAGGGAGGTCCTAGGTTCAAACCCTGGCTGAGGTAATATTTTTCGCAATGAATTTTCTTTTTCTTTCAAAGAAAACACCGACGTTGTTAATTACCGCTGGCGACATTGAGGAATTTTGTTTATATTTTTTATGTCCTTTAATTTTACACTATTAACTGCGTAATTCTCTGTATATATTTAATTTGCGAATTTATCCATGTGTTAAATTGTATTTATCTCTTTTTTTTATACCGAGGATGATCCAATGAGGACCGAAACGTATACATGCTTTTGTAATTCAAATATTTTTATTAGACACTACAATCCTGTTCAGGCTCTGAGCCCTTTCTTTTATTACTTGATTTCATTATACGAGCCATTGTTATTTATATGAATGAAATATGTTTTCCCATTGTTTAATATTAATACGTCGTTTACAAATCAGATGAAAGCAATGTACAGTGATGGACAGAACAGTTGCGACACTTTTTTTCTTAATGAATTCAGAAACGCGCATTTAGATTCAGGTTTATGTTCCAAAACATTTCCAATGAGGAAAATTTTATTAGAAAAATAGATCGGAAACGCTCGAAATGGTTTCAGAATGTTTCTCGAGTAAAATGTTCCTCGAAGAAGATTTTGGAACGTAATCCTGAATCTGAATGCACGTTCCTAAACTCGTTAAAAAACAGTGTGGCAACCATTCTGTCCATTACTGTACACGAATATATTTTCATAGTTATATAGGGGATACAATTTCTTAACATAGGAATAATTGCCGTTAAAAGATATTTAAAAGTTCAAATGTCATATACTTAAGCCAACAGTACACGATACTAGTTTTCCTACTGGATTGCTTACGAGAGCCAATCAGGATTTAGCCTCAAGTCACCTGACTCTGCCTCCTTATTGGTTCTCGTAAGCAATCCAGTAGGGAAAATAGTATCGCGCGCCGTTGGTTTTATTTATGACTTTATTTAAAATTATAATAGAATTAATTTTAAGGACAATTATTAATTTTCTCAAATGCAGCTGTAGAAAATAATGACGGGCAATCTATGTATACTTTCTAGTTCTTAAATGCAATACATATATAAAATTAGAAATGGATTTTTGTCGTTATAGATTATCCAAAGAGAACGTGTTAACTTAAAGAAAATAAGAACATGTAACGCAAAGACGATCTATCCGTTGTATATTTATGAAAAATTATTCCTTTCCTTTTTCAAACACCACAACTGACAATGACGAAGCTAACGATTTGTTATTTCAGTGAGTATCCTTGATATAATTACTAAACTGCCAGCCAAACGACTCGTAGCTCTCGGACTCTGAAGTAACAGCGAATAGCATTAAATAATAGAGTTGCCATTTTTGTCATTATAGATTATCCGTCGTACATTCATGAAAAATTCTTTCTTTTCTTTTTTAAACACCTCAACTGACAATTACGAAGCTAACGATTTGCTCGTTATTTCAGGGAGTATCTTTGATATAATTACTAAACTGCCAGACTGGTAGCTCTCAGACTCTGGCGTAACAGCGAATAGTGTTAAATAATAGGGGTGCTATTTTTATCATTACAGATTATCCAAAGGGAACGTGCTAACTGAAAGAAAATAAATACATACATATAACGCATAGACGATCTATCCGTTGCACATTTATGAAAAATTGTTCCTTTTCTTTTATAAACACCACAACTGACAATGACGAAGCTAACAATTTGTTATTTCAGTGAGTATCCTTGATATAATTACTAAACCGCCAGCCAAATGGCTCGTAACTCTCAGGCTCTGACGTAACAGCGAATGCAACGAATGGTATTAAATAATAGGGGTGCCATTAGTGTGATTATTGGCAAATAGCTACATCACATCAGCGGAGGATGCATTCACGACTGAGAGCGATTCGAGCACGGCGATGAATCCGTGGAAGCATTTCGACGGAGGCAATGACGCAAATACGAAATGCCGCATCGATACAACTCGAAATATGACACGAGGCGAGCCCGAACGAAAAGCCCCCGGTTCTCGGGCAGCACGTATCATGCATATTCGGCACGGAGGCCCTTCCCGCCCTTCCCCGCCGGTGGGATGGATTCTTAGTGCGAGCCGCGCGGAAGTCCGGGAATCCGCAATCCGTTTACGAATTTCGAACGGCAAGGTAATGGCTCGTGCGTAGTCGCGCGGTTAGAAATTACAATTCGAATTCCATTGCCGTAGCCGGCGACGGGGGTGAATAAGAGAGAGAGAGAGAGAGAGAGAGAGAGGGGGGGAGAGGGAGAGAATGGAGCCGGACAGAGGGGGAAGTCGCGGAAAGGGGGTAGATACGGATATTGGAGTAAGGCAGGGTACGGTGTCGGCAAACGGATAGAGAAGCGGAGAAGTAAACGCTGGCCCGTGGTGGCAGTTGACCCGCCTGCGAGCGCGAATATAACCGGTTTTCGACCTGCTCGCCAGCATTCTGGAATTGTAATCGCAGTCCCATTCGACCAGGGATGTTCTACGCACGTCGTAGTCACCCTTCCTCGGGTTCCACCCCGGCCTCCGCGGGCGGTTACGATGCGGTCGGATTCCATTTTAATTACTTACCTTCGATCCCTGTCGCCGTACCCCGTGCTCCGGCGCCTCGCGTCGTGTCGCGTCGCATCGCGTCGCGTCGCCTCGCGTCGCCTCGCGTCGCCTCGCGTTGCGCGTGATGTGCTCTCCCGTGATGTATTACTCTTTAGTTAACGACACATAATATTTCCGGAATTGATACAGCCTTTGATCGTAAAAACAAGAGCACGGCATGTTTCCCAACGCTCGATGAAAAAATAAATATATTTCTCTCGCAAATTAAATTCCATAGTAATGAAAACGTCCTCCGATTCTTGCTTCCCACTTCAAGCTTAAACTGATAATTTGCCATTTGAAATGAAAAAAACCATTATCGCAGCGCAATTTTTAGAAATCGCGCAGAAACAATACTTGTCTCTTCGACGGTTTTACTAAATAACTCTTGAAACAAAAAATTATTGAAGATTGTGACAATGAGACGAGTTATCTCGTATGTACAGTAAGAAACTAATCTGTGAAAATGTTGTTTATCTTCGTAGCATCGAGCATTCGTATTTGACTCTTAATTCTTTCGATCTAGCACATCGTCTTTTGATAAGGACTGTTTTAGAATACGCCCAGGGTTGGGAAAGTTATTTTATCAAAGTATCTTATAGTTACAGTTTTTTTGCTGAAAGTGTAACCACACTGATAATACAGATATTTTAATCCAAAAAACTATTACTTGACTCAAGAAAATTATTCATTAGGTGGCTTCTAATAGCTTATTAACTTAAATTAAAAAAACAACAAACTAACTAAAACATGCATTTCTTTAATTTAAGTATTTATTAAATATCAAACAGTAGATAATTTTGAATTAAAACATTTTTACTTTAATTCTATAAAATGTTTACTAAGATATAAGTTTTACAGCGAAGAAAATTGGATTTCTTATTTGACAAAAACAATGATTTCATTTAATAAATAGTATTCTCTATCTCATGAAATCTTTAGTTGAATATAGAAAATACAATGATTTAAATTAATTTACTTAATATAATACACAGATTTACTTGAAATTTGATATTTTTATTTAAATAAAATAAATATTTACTTGCATCAGTACAGTTACAGTTACAAATTCTGAAAAGTAACGCGTTACAGTTACAGTAACTCAAAAAGTAACGAATCGTTACTTTGCAGTTACTTTCTTGCAATAAAAATTAAAATATCAAATCTGCATTTAAATTGTTAAGTGTCGATAAAGGCGTTTATGCGCAAAGGCAAGGGTTAATGCAGTCTGTGGAGGATAAAAAATAAATAAAGTAACTATTCATGTAATTGAGTTAAGTTACAGATGGAGAGAAAGTAACGAAGTTAAGTTAGAGTTTCCAAAAGAAAAACTGTAACGAGTTACTTTCCTACCCTGAGTATGCCTTATATTAAATAAGATTAATGGAGTATAAAAATGATATGTTTCTCTCTTTTACGGGAAGAATATCAAATTACGATTAAGATTAACTTCCGGATGTAAAACGGAGACGAAGGAAATGATGAAAAGTCTGCATGCGGGGAAACTGTAACGTTAATTGAAGTTACGTATCATATAGCGTACCAGCAACGTAAAAGAGTTGATAAGCCGGCACTTTTTTAAATTTCGTCCGACTTGACGTTGCGCTTGATCTTCATAGAGGATGAAAACCGGCATGCTCTCGCGAGTCGGAATGAAAATTGCAGAGCCATGATGCCGAAATAGCCGCTATTTGTATACGTGACGTAGATTCCGTCCGCGAAGTGAGAAAATGAGAAAATACTTGGCAAGATACTGCCCGCATAGAATCGTGTCCATGCGTGCCGGCAAAGAGAGGCGATACTGTAATCAAACTCGGTGAATTTTTCAAGGCCTGCTCTACCTGCACCATTATTCCGCTCGGAAATCTCGGAGAGAGGTATAATAGATCGCCAGATCTATAGAATATGCATACCCGTACGCGCGTTAATGCAGCACGTGCAAAAATTCGAACGATACGCGATTGCGAGGGTCACGTGGATAATAACGTAGCTCGAAATTTCAAAAATTATGGAATTTTGCGCATTCTTGATATCAAATAATACCATATTTATCATGCACGATTTATGATCGTATAGATAATCTCGACGATAAGGTTTACAACATCGATGAAGAAGTTATTTGCGTTTATCTTTCTTGGAACTTGAAGACATTGCGTAACGATTGTATCACAATGTTCGGCACGTGAAAATTCGAACGACAAAAATTCAAGAGAGCGAGACTACTATATAAATAGGAGCACATCTCGGAAGCAAAAACACATAATCGTGTGTGGGAGAAGTTACTGAAGAATATAACTTGTCGGAAGTTCTCTCAATCGTTCAAGCTATTGTAAATAATGGGATTCTATTCCAGAAGTCTAATCCGTTCGTAATATAAAACGCGTACGCCCACATACAAGCTGGTACGTGCATGTTTTTATCTATTTTAATTTATCAATGCATTTAAATAGACCGTAAAGATGTCCTGCGAAGGTCCGCTTTGCAGTCGATTCTTCTTTTTAATAAAAAAATTCAGAATATCAAAAAATAATCGAAGACCATCTGTGACGCAGTAGCTAGAATGTCGCGGATGATGGAGTTGTAAATTCTGAGAATTCTATTGTAATTACGAGAAAGTACGAGTTTCCGGGAACACGATTAAGGTAGAATTATCAGAGATAAAATAGTCTTTGAGTCTTGATAATATCGAGGGGTGAAGAGGGATTATATGTGGGGGAGTTAGAAATGTAGATCTATGCGATATATACTAATGCAGATACAGTATATAGTGAATTGATAGCGGATAGTCGTCAAAGAAAACCTCTGTCTCGTTACATGTAAAGTGTGAGAACTCACAGTCGTATTCTCGATTTGGCCAGTCCTAATCTTTCTCCGATTCTCTTCAGAATTTCGAGGTAAAGATTGAACAGAAGTTTGAATAAGTCTCAACCGTCTTATTTGATACACGAAAAAAAAAGATTTCGCTGGTTTCTTTAGCAACATATCTTACGCTCCCGTAGCAAACATCATCAGTTTTTATACAGACACATTTTTACAAATTTTCATTTTATTTACTAAAATAGTTTCGCATGGTTCTATTACGGATGGACTCTATTTTGCTTTAGCGGCGAATTAGATTTGCCTAGTAATAAATTTAGTTAGTAACAAATTCGGATTTCGGAGATTAGAGATTTATTTAAGAGAGCTTTTCATAAAACTAGTATTATATAATGTAATATAGAATATAATTGATTGCAAGTTCGGTTGCTTTTACCTCAAATATATAATAGAGTATTAACAATTCTTCTGCGAGATCTTTTTTTTCATGTTGTAAATCATCGCTTATGTGTAAGTGTAGCCCACTATTTTTTTTCTTGCCACATTTGTCGTTTTTATCTCAGCTTTTTAACTACTGAAGTCAGTCGAACGTCTACAGAGTCTGAAGACACTCGTCGTATTGCGTGTACAAGTGCGACAGTGGATTCGATTGAAATAAATAGTCGTATCACGCTAAAGATAATTCAATATTTTCTTTCGATTCTCCGTTGTTTATATGAAAATTGTGACAGAGCGGGTATCTTCATAAAAAATAAATTAGTACAGAGGTTAAGTTCTGAGTATTACAAAAGTAAAAATTTAACATCGCAAGCAAGTATGCAAAATATAATTCAAACGTTATTCTAGGAAATAGTGATAATGTTTTATGAGTATCTTATGTACATTTCATTCCTACCATTACTTTTTAATGAAATCGTGAATTTTTACTTTCATTAAAAATTAATATTACGTGAATTAATTAGTATACAAAAGTTAAAAAAACATCTAGATTTTTTAACTTTTAAAGTCGTCAGATAAATAAAACACATTGAATTTTCGATGACAAATTAGTAGCAGAATAAAAGGCATATAAAAAATTACTTTCATTAGAATATTAAACCGTTCTCAAAATGGCGCATTGAAAGAATAGTCCAGATTGTACTAGTTAAAGAGCTTTAATTAACAATATTCGACTTCATTACCCACCTCTATATAAAAAAGATAATGATTTTAATTGTTTTACAGTTTCGATCGATGTGGTATTATTTTTAAGTTTAATATTACATTTTTTAAATCTTATTGCGGGTACGTGTTCATCCATTTACTCGGTATTCATATTCTTATTCGGGCATTCACGCAGTTCATCAGTATTAAACTTAGAAGGAAAGTTAGCCACTGTGCGGTCCGAAACTACTTTATACTTTTCCTCATTCGCTTTTAAACTCCTTACACGATAAGTTCTTCTAATGAGAGGTGATATATTTTAAATTCATTGAATTTAAGTTCGATTCTTTTTACTCTTTCCAACATTATACGCTTAAAAAGTTTTCCGAAGAACTATTACGTTGTCGCTGCCAGTAGTGTGACCTTAATTGTAAATTATCGCTTCTAAGTTGTCGCTACTAACGTGGATCTAATTTTCTATTATAACAATTCGCATACCAAATCTGAATCTCTCTCCGAAGGAAATTTACCAAATTTAAACGTTCCTTCCCTCCTCTCCGATTGTCGAAACATCTGTGAGGATGACACATGACGAGTGACAGATAAAATTCGTGCATTATTTAATGGCACCATTAGGTTAAGCTACCAAATATTCATTTCTTTTCGCTGAATAACAAATATTACGGAAGACTTAATGCTAATTATTCAGCAGTGGGGCTGAATGAATGAACAAATATCATATATAAATAATCTAAGAGTAATTTTTCTCAAAATAAATTTCTCAAATGCTCAGTTATAAAAGTAAATGGGTTCTCGCCGTATTAAAATACGATACGGTACTTCTCGCGACAATAACAATTTTATCGTAGACGACACTATTATGGGATACTATAAATATCTCGAGAAATCTAAGCACTGTGACTGTGTACTTATTGTTAGATTAGCTTTTTATCGCGGACAAATCTATTTGTAACAACGATGTAGTATCTTTCTATCATATTTCGTTGCACAAAGTCAGATAATATGCTAATCTAGTAAACAGAGCGCGTTCTTACGGAGAAAAACAGTGAGAGAGTGCGTTCAAAAGATTTTTAATCCTCGGCAATAGTACGATTAGAGTGCGTTATCTTACACAATAATACCTTTTCTAATGCTGAACAGATATATCTCGAACAGATTATAGGTTTGATAGATATCAAATGTAAACTCAACTTCAAGTTCATCAGTGCAGATTATTACGTACATTCAACTAATTAATACACATTATTATGACAAAAGTAATTCTACAACGTAAAATTGATTTTAGAGATACATGCACAAATGTAAAAATTTCAGTGATAAAGATTGAAAAAATTTACTTTTCTGGCTTTCTATTATTTTCTCTGTGTGACACCACGTAACAAGCTACTTACAAACATTTTACTTAATTATTTCGATTTCGTGATTTATTTCTCGTTAATAATACACTGAGAAAAATGTCCGATTAATTATAATCGGATAATCCAATTACATAATAACAAATGGATGTATCCAATTAAACTGTATACTCGATGAAAAATATGATCGGGTTTTCGATCAAATTTCATCGGTAACTGCAAATTTCATCGGATATATCCATAATTGAATCGGAAAACGTAATCGAAAACACTATTTAATTGGTTTATCCGATGGAAATTCTTCTCAGTGTAGACATTAGCTTTTAAGCAATTGAACTTGTGTGACGATTAAAAAAAAGTTCCGTCGTTTATGAAAATAAATAAAGGCCCAAGTGCTAAACTCTCTTTAAACAGACTAGACGTTCGAAATAATATTTAGCGCACACAAATGTGAACTTGAAAACATGATGATAAGTAATAAACATTCGCGCAGAAAACATAGACGATGGAAGATGAATTTTTTATAGAACATTTGCTATGTCATGTTTATACGTTTCAAGCTCGACACTTATAAGCGTCGGTTCAAACAAAGGTCCAACGGCAGCCAGTGATTTCGTTACTTCTGCAACCTATATTAAGATTATTGGAAATATAATATAAGTGCCAAGAACCATTTTTATTGTAGATTCATCGTCACGGAATATCTGAATTTGATTCACCCCGTTTGTTCGAGAAGATGGTGAAACTGCAACGTTTCGTGGACGTAAAAATATTACTATTTTACTTCTGCTTATTAACGTCAGGGATCTCGGTGCCGATTGCCGTCCATGAGTCGGAAAGTATTTCTGCAGGAGACGATTATTCGAGCTTACTATTAGTCAGCGCGGTAATGATATCAAAATCACGTTGCTTCACGAAAAATGTACCTCTTCCTGAGTGTATGCAAAACTAACGCAATTAAAATTTGGAATTTCCAGGTGTTCAGACACGGCGATCGCACGGCAGACGAGTTCGAAACTTATCCAAATGACCCATACAAACATAAGGATTTCTACCCAGATGGCAACGGGCAGTTAACGATAGTAAGATCTGATTTATACGTTACAACATATTACATCGTTTCGTTAATCCCTTTGTCGCTAAGACCGTCTTATGACATGGCGCAAGTGTTTGCAGAAGTAAACTTAAAAAATTGTGTCTAGCTGGTCTCATTCACCACTCATTTTTTTAATAGCAGATTCTTATCGATTTAGAATTAATTTGTCACGGCAATTCAACTCAAAGTCCCTTTTGCCAAAGTTGCTTAAAAAAATGTAATTTTGTTAATTGTTTAAAGTTCCGTTTGACAAAAATTCATTCTTTCAATTACTTGTAATTTGAAAATCGTAAGTATATTTCGCCAAGCATTGTCATTGAGACAAAATCTATTTTAACCCTTAAATGCATCATGTTGCCATTCGGCAACATACCGATATCTAGGTGGATAGCGTTGAATGTATGTACGGCATCGATGTTTGAACAAAAACAATAACTGTTTCAGAAGTTTTCATACGCAATAACGTATGTTTCATATGTTTCTAATTTCATGATGTTGCCATTCGGCAACACACCCTTTTGTTCTTGAAAAAAAAACAGTAAGATAGATTTTTTTCTCATTTTTCCCTTATTGTACTCCTTTTGTTGTATCATATTCAGCAAAAAAATCATAAAAACAAAAAATCATGCATTTAAGGGTTAAAAAATCTCTCGTTCGAATATAAAGCGCGAAAAGTGAAATATTCCGTATGTATATAAATTAGTATTAATGCATGCACATTGCGTCTTCAGCTTTTTGTAAAGCCCTTCGTAGTGTGTCATAGCAAATGTGCGGGTAAGTACGCGTGCGACAACTGGAGATTGACATTCTTCTCATTTCCTTCGTTTTCGCGTGGAATGCCTGGCCCGTTTATTTGCAAGTTTGCGCCATCTTATTGTAAGAAATATTAATGCGGTCGCAGTTCCTTCTTTCTCTTCTATATCTTTGTTAACAACGTTCAAGGCCGGCAAGATAAGAGCGTACAACTTAGGACTGATGCTAAGAGATAAATACAACAGTTTGCTCGGGGATGTGTATTATCCGCCGAATGTCTATGCACGTAGCACAGATGTGTCTCGCACTAAGATGACCCTGCAGCTAGTTCTCGCGGCGCTTTATCCGCCTGTTGATGGCCAAAAGTGGAACTCGAATCTTACTTGGCAACCGATGGAAATGACATATATTCCAAAGACACAGGATGACTTACTATTTCCATTTGTGTGCTCCACGTAAGCAAACCTCTTCTTTTCACGAGTGTATAGTTATAAGTCGTTGAACGGATGCAACAATAATTCGGTTGCGTTTACATTCACGTTCATAAAAATATTTCACAAGGGTGAGTCGTCGATTATTTTAATTTTTTAATGAAAGTAAAGCAATTAAATAATTAATACAATTACTTTATTGTATAAAAATATCTTTGTTTGTACTTCACAGATCCTCAAGATTTCGTAGCTTTGCTTTGCTAAAAAATGCACCGTATCTTAAAGAAATTGTAATGTAAATTGTATCGTCCACACGGAAAAAAGAATGATGTTGTACCAACAAGATCAGTGTAATTGAAATAAAATCGTTGAAACAACACATCAGTATTAATAAATGAAAAACATCAGATTGTTGTCTTAATAATTTGTATACTTAGTTTAATGCTTAAAATTAAAATCTGTAGCAAATACAATTGAGTGAATTATTTATATTTGTAGCAGCCCGTGACGTTAACGTTTAATTCAAGCAACTTCATTTTGTTTAATTCAACAGCATTTTTTCCGTGTATAAATATCTAATATATGATAAAGTATCATGATTACAACGTAGATTATATATTTCGAATTTAAGTTATTTCTTGATAACAATGTTAAAAATTACTAATGTGCATATTATTTTCCAACAGATATGTGGAAATGTTGAAAGATCTGCTACAAAGTTCAGAAGTGAAAAAGAAAATAGAACAGTTTAATGATTTCATGGAGACAGTATCAAAGTATACAGGAGAGAATGTCACTAGTATCACGAACCTCACTGTTTTGTATACTACTTTATATGTGCAATATTCAATGAATTTGCCTTTGCCCAAGTGGACACAAGACATGTTTCCGAATGGCAAACTTTTGGAAGCTACTCTCTTATTCTTCAAATTATTGAGTTACGACAAGTTAAAATATTTCAATGGAGGCAAGTTTAAATCAAGTATACATAATCTATAAGTTATCTAATTATTAAAAAATAACCTCAGATTGATTTAAAGAGTCCGAAAGAAAAATTTAAATAAAAAACCAAGATTCAAAAATTAGGCTACTATTAATTTATTTTTTATTTATTTTTAATCTCAGACTGGTGTGTAAATATCATACATTTCAGTTACAAGTGACATTTAAGTGTTACTCTTTACTCTCTTTCTTACTTATGTTTCTTGGGATAACATGATTAAGAAAAAATTAAAAGTTCTAAAAATTGTATTTTTATCGCAATATTTTTGAACACGCCATTATCAATAATAGTCATATGAGTTATTTATTGTTTTAAGTCCAGCACAAACAATTCTATTAAGAACTGAATTTCATTAGTTATTGGAAAATTGTTTTTCCTTAGTTTTTACATGGCAAATAATTCATATTTAATATGTTTATGAATAGAGTCTTTATATATTTCCATAAAATATTCGTATGATTTTTCGCAGGTGTATTATTGAATACAATAATTGAGGACATGAATAAAGTGATCAACGAATCACTGCCAAATCGAAAGATTAATCTTTTCTCTGCGCATGACATAAATGTGGCCGCGATATTACATGCTCTAAATATACCTCTACTTCATACACCGGGGTATACAAGCAGCGTTATCATAGAATTACATAAAAAAAGTGAGGCGTATTTTGTCAAAGTAAGTGTGTCATTTCTATTTGCCAACACGTAACGATGTTATTGACATTTGTCACCTGATTAACAAATAACTGACGGATAACGCTCGAACCTTGCAGGTGTTATACTACTTGGGAACTCCATCTAATATAAAAGAAATCAGAATTCCCGGCTGCGAAATATTATGTCCGTACAATAAATTTGTCGAATTAACATGGTCAACTAATGTCTCTAAAGAGCCATGTAACCCAGCGAAAATAGACGAATAACCAGTAGATCCCAGTAATTTAATATATTCAACAGGACTGGAGTTATAAAGGTCATAAAACTGACCATCTAAGGTCATTTTTCTTTTACGAAATATTATATTATTTGCTTTTTAGAAATAGAATCGCAATCAAATTGTTACATTTATATCGAACGAAAGGTGGAGAAACGTCTAATATTATCATTGGCAGCTAAATTTTATTTTAATTAACGAAATAGTTAATAAGGCAAGAACACATTTTATAAGGTCTCGTTTTACAAACTTCAGTTTTACGTGGAGCAGTATTGTTACAATACCGTCTCCTATCTAGTATAATAAAATTGGCGCGGCAGACGGTTTTATCACATTTTCCTCATTATCCGGTATCGTACCGCCGAAAACTAGATGCCCATACGATCGCGGAAAGTTAAGTTCGTTAAGTATGCTCAGAGTCGTGTCTTATCGAAGACACGGAGCTCAGATCCTCCGCCTACCGTGCCGTAGCATAACAATTACCCTATTATTTCGCACACACCGCCGCGGCGATTCGTTGGGCCTATACACCGCACATTTCCGTTCCACGATATACTCCCAACTTCCATTAAGGTTAAATCTTTTCGGCCGTCGCGTAAGCAGATATCAACGCTGAAGTTTAATTTGCCCTTTTACATTATTACCACTTACGGCCGTCGATCAACGCTATTTTAATTTGATTCTACACGAGGAGTGGATCTATCGTAGAATGCGAGGAGAAAATTGTTACTAAAATTATTTCCCAGATAATACAAAGAGATAGATTCTTTTTCAATTCTTTCCGAATAAAAAAGGTAAAAAGAGTTCTTTCGAGTACATTTTTAACGGATTACGACAGTCATAAAGAATTTTTTTTAAATTAAATTATTTTTGAACTCATAATGATCACCTGTGCGTTAACCCCAAGAGCGACAACTTCGAGAGAAACTTTTTCTGAATCAATAATTCTAATTAAGGTTGAAATTGTGTAAGGAAAATTATTATCAGAATATATTACTTACAATGCGAGGGGAAAATTGTTACTAGAATTATTTCTCAGATAACAGAAAGAGATGGATTCTTCTTCAATTTCCGAATAAAAAAGATGAAAGGAGTTCTGTCGAATACATTTTTAACGGATTACAACAGCCATAAAGAATTTTTAAAAATTAAATTCTTTTTGAGCTCATAATGATCACCTGTCCGTTAACTCCAAGAGCGACAACTTCGAGAGAAACTTGTTTTTAAATCAACAATTCTAATTAATGTTAAAATTATGCGAAATATATGGTGTAAGCCAAATAAGATTTACAATATAGATGTGTTTTATATAATTATATTATATTACCCGTTGTGTGTATTACGGTGAAAGTTTTATAAATAGAACATGTATCTAAATGTAATAAATCAAAATAGAACGTATTGACCTATCTATTCTTCTATTTACAAGTTGAGAAAGCTGCTTCGATAAAGAAAAATTGTACCAGGAGTTTAGAGAATTTTTGTTAGAGACAGAAACGATGCCAAACAACGTAGTTTATCGTATACTGAATTAGACGGCGTGTTCTTTCAATTTCGAAAATCATTGCCGAAACTTGTCGCCGGGAAAGAATAGGAGGTTTCAGCTATTCTAAAGACAAAGTTCATCTTTCTTTTTCCCTTTTCTTTCGTGCCGGGCCATCCTTTTCTCCTGTAACCCCTTTTTCTCCTGTAATCCCACCCTCGCTCCGTCGGGATAAACTCTTGAAATTTCCGAGAGTTGCCCGGATGAGAAGAACCAGTTCCGCACTCCTAATTCTGCGGAATTAAACTCGCGAAATCGTTCTAATTGCGGATACAGTGAGTATCGGGGCACTTGCATCGAACCGAGTTGCGTTGTACTTTTAACGATGTAATACCATGATTGAATTAATCACTGTTCAATTTCCATTACACGGCCGTTAAATTGCATTTATGCCGGGAGTCGTGATTATGACCACGTTAATTTACAGCCGACAGAAAACACGTCATTTTATTGGATACATTCTGCATGACGCGCCGGGAGAAAATACAAACTGCCCTTTCGACGAATTCTAGCAGGTCAGTTTCTCTACAATTAAACCTTGAATTGCAGCCTCGCCAAAGTATGAGACTGTACTCGATCAGTTTACGAAAAATTAGTCTTTCTTAATTGCGAAATTACGGGTTTACGCTTCTGGGTGTACACGGAACGTGGGAAAAGGTTAAATAGAGCATTCCTCAAGTTCCCAGACGGGCGCGTGGCACAATGGCCGAGAAAATGCAAAATTTGCCGAAAAGACTGCCGCGCACGGGGAAGTTAGTTTGAAAACGCACGATTTAATTGAACATTCGTAATAATTTGTCTGCGCGAGAGGGTGCTAACTGAAACTCCGTGGTTCGCGTTCGCGTGCGATTCGTCGGCGGCAAGGAATTAGCACGAGCTGTCGAGTAGACAATACGGAATTAATTATAATTAACTGCCATTCACAAAAGTTTCCGCGAACAATTTTGTGGTCGCACCATGCTGGTTATAATGAACTCTCTCCTGGCAGCTCCTATCATTTACATACTCTTACATTCAAACTGGGTTTTCGTTTGGCTGCTGCGCTGGTTCGCGACAACCCCAAGAGAAACTTCTTTAAATTATGCCCTTTGGAATATACCTTCGGCATGACGTAGAATATAACGTCCGCTGAAAACTTTCCGCCGGCACGAAGAAATATTGTTGCAACATCGTAAAAATGCATACGACTGATCCTTACCGTCATCCAGCAGGGATTACACATTTCGAAAGAAAGGCCCTTTAAAAGGAGAAAGGTCCGCAAAAAGGGGGCAAATGTGAACTCAAGTCGTTCAAATTTTGTTATGGCACATTCACATTACACACCTTGATACGAAAATATTTAAAAACTTGTGTAACGAAATCTGAATGAAACTTGGAATGTTAAAATTATGCGTATTTTGAACGACATATGGAGAAATGAAGACCCTTCTTCAAATATTGATAAATATTTGCACAATGTATTTTTAAATATAGAAATCTTTTTAAGTTGCCAGTAATAAATAATAATAATCAAGCTTTTTAGTCGATACTAACCGGCCAAGTGTTTTAGTACAGAAAATTTATTGCGAAAAATATTACCTCGGCCAGGGTTCGATTCGCGAATCGGCGCGCAATTTAAAGTCGAAAAATAGACGCGAAGATATCATCTTTATGCTGCTATTGCGACAAATATTACCACATGCCTCAGTGGTCGAATTGGTAAGACGCCCGCCTATAGAGTAAATTTTATTCCCACAAAATCGTTGCGTTTTGGCGAATCACCTTAATGCAATTATTGTGAAATGTCCTTCTCTTGGATGATGCAATTATTACACAATATTTGAGACATTTTCTTATATTCCTTATTAATCGTTTTATATATTATTTGTATCTGTTGTCATTTATGCGTGACTAAATACTTGAAAAAGCTTAAAAATAATTGGCGTAATAATATTGCTGCTATTTGATAATTTGGGGACTATTAATGTCGTTTTAATGTCGATTAAACGACCAACACTTTTTACAGCTCGATACCCTCGCATGCGTATCGTCGTCCTCGTTGCAGCTTTTCTTCATTTCAAGAAGTAGCGCTGGCCATATGGCCCGCGTATTTACGACTTTGTCCTACATGTAATGATCTCGCCCGTATTGCCCTACCGTGTTAATCAATTTCGCACAGCGGCTCGTAAGATCGTGACGAACGTGTGTCAGCTGTCATTAAAAGAACAGGAAACATCTACGGTCTCGTAAAGAAAAAATAAAGAACACTATGACACGAGGAATACCAGAAAATCGAAAATACCGGAGCCATTTGGAAAATTCTCGGAGTCCAGTACAAACAGACGTCGTACGTTAAATAGAAAGTTCCAACCCTTCTGCGAACATATGTCAAGTGCCAATTCCATCAAATAGTTCATTTTTTTAACAGTTCTTTGAACGAACGTATTTGCGTGATTTAAAAAACAATGAATAAACTCGAAGTGCTGTGACCAAGTATCTTATGAAGGGCTTATCGGTATGAATATCTGATAAGCTCGTTTTCGCCAAATACAGAGTGCTTCGAGCTTATTCATTTTTCAAAAATCACGCAGATATGTTAATTGAAAAACTATTTAAAAAAAAGAACTATTTGATACGGAACGAGTTGGAAGTTTCCACGTATCCATAGAAGGGTTGGAGGTTTTCATTTCATATACGACGTCTATTGTGCGAGTGCCGAGAACTTTTCAAACAGTCCTCGTATGTACACGATTCTTCCTATTTCCTGTTGAAACATCGATCCCGGTTAAACAGCTGCAACAACGGTAGCCGTTAAATTAAATTAAATTGTACAACGGCTCAGTGTGTGAATAACGACGATTTGCAAACTGCTGCGGAAGTTGCGGGGTTTCCCCTTGAAAGAAAGAGATAGTGTCCCTCGCCCCCGCGCCGTAATCCGGATTTTACCGACTAATTTGTGAATCCGGGAGGGGGGAGGGGGTAGAAAAAAAAAGGGTCAGCGATTATCTCGCGTGTGTGCGCGCGCGCGCACGTGCGCGCGTATAATATCGGGGAATGTAAGTGTGGCACCGGGCTGACGTTCGGTAGTGCATTATCAGTTCGCCTCGCGCTCATAGGAAACCGCAATTTCCACAAATTACCACGGATGAAAACTGACTCTTGCGACTGTACACCATCGGCTACAGCGCGGTGGAATTCATGGGTCGCGGGTTATGCCGCATTCGGTGGTATGTAGTAATTAGCAACATTGCTCCCAGATCTCCCGTGGATGGGAGGATCGGGCGAGAACCGAGCGAGCGGGGGTGGGCGCGCGGAGGGGCGGGGGGGGGGCAGGGGGGCGAATCCGCCGGCACAGATTTCATTTCGAAGGAGCAGAACGCAACGGCGGGGGCGATATTATCTTGCCCGTGACGTTTAACGATCGGTCACGCCGGGGCTCATCCCCCGACACCGCCGGAAATCGAGACAAAAACGAAGCGCTGTCGCATTCTTCAGTTCATGGGGTCAATTCTATATCTTACGCCATAGCGAAAATGCTAAAAGTGAGCGGCTTTGCCTCTCTTTCTAAGGCGACGGCTAGAAAGAGGCAAGGCTATACTTTGATTGCTTGCACTAGTGCGCACTGGCAATCACGCTAAGGCTCGTTTACAGTCAATTCTTGTATTTGAGGATCGTCTTAAATATCGCTTGAAATATTTCTTAGCCAGTAAAATAATCCGTATATCATCCATACGGATCATTTTTTGGCTAAATATTCCTTGAACATGTATTTAAGACAAAGTCTCCTCCTATATAAAGAAAGGCGTGTTATTTGCAGCCGTCAAACCATGCGAATTTTTAGATAGAGCAAATAGTGTTGTCTAGTTGAATATAAAAATTGACAAGCAACCGAATTACACACTAAATTTATAACAAAATTATTTAAGTACTAGCACCCTGTTTCGGCTGTGTTTAACACATCAGAGTCTATTTTCCATGTCCCAAAAAAATGATATTCAATTTTTAAATGACGTACATAAAGTGTCAAGTTATTATGTTAACATAAATATGACACATAAAAATGTTACGAAAATAATAACGTATCTATTTTATGTTAATTTTGCATTGAAACAATAATCGAATCTTAGTAAGATGAGAAAATTTTACACATTTGAACACACGAATTTTTACTATATTATATATATTTATTCTTAGACTGCGTTTCCACCGAGCGCGTCACGCGTCGCGTCTTGCGCGATAATCCAATGAGCGTACAGCGTACAACTGAAAGTCGGATACTTTTCCACAAAAGCTGTTCGCTCATTGGATTATCGGGCATGACGCGGCGCGTGACGCGCTCAGTGGAAACGCACCCTTAAGGGCTGTGTCCACGATGCTAGAGCTTGGTCCAAGTTCAAAGCTGCAGGTTGATTGGCTACACATTTCTCGGAACTAGAACTTGGACCAAGCCCTAGCTCCACTGGCATCGTGGACACAGGCCTTTAGATTAACGCCGTGAAAGCCACGGAAATAATAATCGAGTGGAGTATTTTTCATTATTTCAAACATTCAACTTTCGCGGCGAGGAAGTTGACCAGCGCGCTTCGTTACCAAGCGGGCGACGTGAGATTATTAATAATAACTGGAAGCGCGAGGGAAGGAGCGTGTCGATACGTTTCTCGCGGTCGAAGGGCGGCTGCGGGAAAGCCGTGTCGCGACCGCGATTTCTCTGCCGCGCGACGTGAGAGTCGCGGAACGAGACGCGCCGAGAGTTTTGCCTCCGCGTACGCCTTCCCCCGCCGAGTTTATTAAAGCGCTGGTGCAGCTGTAGCTGAATTATCGCCGGAGTTTCCTGTCTCTCGGCTCCCCCGCGGCAAAAAGCGCGCGACGCGCAGCGGGAACGAAACAATTTGACCGCCTTATTCGAATTTACTTTTCTCCCGCGCGCTCGGTATCTGCGCCGTAACTTTGGCCGGAGGCGAAAAAGGATGGGAGGGCTGCGCCATTACCCCGGAAGCTAATGTACCCTCACGATGATCATTATGTAAATTCGAGTGTGATAGAGCGCCCCGCCGGGCTATAACGCGAGCGAAACTTTTTCGCGGGAGCTAATCAATTCATTTATCGTGTACCCGATGTCCGCCGTCCGTTGAGACGGTACAAATATCAAGGGGGGTCCTTGAGAAGCCGAATTTCAGGGGAGCAAGAACCCGCGAGGAGGTGGCCACGTGCCCGCGTTTTACGCCTCTTTAATAAAAATGCGACGCGATCGAACAGCTCGTTTCCCAGACTGCCTTAAATTTGCGCAATTAACCCTTTGCGTCCCAGTGGTATCGCTGTGAGACCAGCACGATTTCGTGTCTCGTGTATTTTAGATCGTTTCAATTGCCTACCGAAATAGTTCACGACTAAGAATATATCAACTCTGCGAGGTGTCCACAATAATTTCACATTCCCTAGCGGAAAAAATTTCTATAAATAACAACAAGAAAATGGACTTGAAATGGTTTGTAGAAATTTTTATATCTTCGTTGAAACTTTTTTTTTTAAAATATCTACGAAATAGTACCACAAATTACAATGTTCTCAAATGAAGAAATTATTGCAAGTAGTATTTCATACAAATGTACAAATTGTAAAAATTAGTACAAAACTTTACTAGTTTAAAAAATTTGAGAGACAACAAAATCTTAAAGAATTAAAACATCTGCTTATCATGTAGAATATTACAAAAATTAACAAAAATGTTTCAATTCTAGCATTTTCATGTTCATTTTTATAACACTTTTTAAATATACAAAGAATTTCTTAGATTCTGGCAGTATATTTTATATTTCTTGTAGAATTTTGTAGAAATATTTCCGGCAGGATTGAGACGCGAACGCCCGGAAAAAAGTTTGTTTGAAATCCAACAAATTTGTTCCAATTTTGACCTTACTACTTTTATTTCATTTCAAAGAAATGATTTATTCACCTTAACCAGAATTTGATTCGATTGACACTGGAATTGCTACCCTAGTAGCACAGTTCATTGGTTAAGCATTGGCTAAACATTGGTTCAGTGTTGGTTATATTAGAAATGCATTGGCCGATATTGTCCAACGTAAAGCCAATATTGACCATGGAATAAATGTAAATATTACACCATAATAATTATATAATAGATTTTTATTGGAAGTGCATTGGCCAATATTTAACAATGTAATAAGAATGTTGGTCTAATATTGAAACGAAAACTAATATCGCTAAATAGGCATATTGGCTAAATAAGAGAAGGCGTCCATCTTACAATATTGGGCCAATATTGGGAATACTATATTTACATTATTTCCCAATGTCGCGCAAGCATATTGTGCTACTAAGGCAAGATAATTCATGTCTATTTCTTCAAATGTAGCTAAATGCTTTAGTAGAAGTACGTAAAAATTTAGTAGATTTATATAGACTAGAGATGACCAAACGCGCGCTTCGCGCGCGCAGTTTGTAGTTGAGCATTGTATATTTTAAAAAATTTCTATACATGCAAAGAAGTAATTGTATGCGCAACGTCAATTTAAAATAAAAAGTAATTTATCACTCACTGATACGATTCGCAACCGCAGAGTTGTACATCATGTATGTTAAACTGTAAAAATACAAATATATGATTAGTATAGACTAATTGTGCCAAATCGAAATTATTGTACTAAATATGCTTGATATTTTATATTTTTTAAAATAGGTATTTATTAAGATAATTATATAAAATACTGAGAAAGTATTCCTTTCAAATATAAATTCACAAAATTTTATACATTGGTTTTGTCTCTAACACTTATTCGACTCCTCGTTCGAATCATTTGAATAAATGAAATAAAAGCACAGAACAGATGCTTTATTTTGCACAAGTTAGATAACATAAAAATGTAAGACACTTACCTTACGATTTCTCCGCCGTTGCCCGATGCCTCCTCGGCCTCCTCCTCCTCTCAAATTTCCTTGTTGCACTTACACAACACTCACTCGCGAAAATCATCGATCGCGCGAAATTTCCGGCACTCCCGTACGCGATGTGAAATACCGCAAACACACGAAATATTATTAACTTTTGCGTTATCGGTTTCCAAGACTTTCTGTCATACAAATTACTCAAACTAACAACTTGCATTTTTGATTCGGAAGAATAGGATAATGGATAAATCGCTTTCGAATTGGCGATATAAAACGCAACGCGAGCATCGGAAGCATAATCTGCGGCAAAGAAATAATGTAACGACGTGCAATAAGCGACTTTCTTTACTTCCCGCCCGTTCGAGTTGCGAAGAACGACAGGGCGAAGTCGTATAAATTTCTCTTTTTTCCCGAAAATGGAACAGATTACACGAAATCGACAGATAATTAAAAGCGCGGTGCGTAAAGGAGATGTAACCGCGACAAAGTACCACGGTTTACATTTATATTTTAGATGAGTTAGTCTCGTGAAATATCTAGGTACACGTTGATAAAGAACCGTCGCCTCAATATACAATTCGTTTCTCTTTGCAAGTTGTAAAAACTTAATGATTAATCAAGGAACGTTACTTGTTACTGATAAAGGTGTGCAAATCAATAATGTTTTATCCCTGCATTCATCGCGATCGAGTCTTGGAAACTGATAACGCAAAAGTAATAACACGCACGGAGCGACTCTCGCCACTGCTTGCCGGCTCGACGTTCGGCGAGCGAATGATTGCGCGGCGACCTTCAGGTAAACATTGGCCCGCGTAACATCGTACGATACAGCGCCGAGTGAAAAACAACAAAAAAACGTTGAGAATTCGTTGGCCCGCTTAATCGTCGTACGATACCGCGCCGAGTGGAAAAACAACAAAAACAAACGTTGAGAATTCGTTGGCCTGTCTACGCAATGGAAAATTCCGTACTTAATATTTTATTGTACATTACTTTGTTCCGTGACTGTTGCTACGTTTTGCGTATTATTCCGCGGACTTATTGGTATTGATTAAATTAACGATTAATTCTGTTCAATCGAGAAAATGTTTCGAAGCGAAAATCGTTGTTACTTAAATTCTAATTACTAAGATTAGAGATTTTACTTCAATAGTTGATGCATACAAATGTATATTTCTAAATTGCAAATCTTCATTCACTATGAATCTAAAAGAGAAGTGAAGCACACCGCGCTTCGAGAAAGCCACTCGACATCGCGGAAAAGAGGCCTCAACTGTTCGATATTAACGACATTCGCGCTGATAACATCTCTTTTTTGGAAAGGGGAATATGATTCCAACGTATCTCATTTATTTTAACCTAACCTAACCCAACTTAACTAAATCTTTGCTCTCCAAGGGAAAAACCTAACTATGTAAATCTTTTCTTTCCAAGGGAAAAACAACGATAGAAAAACGAACGCTCCCATTCGTAGAATCAGACTCACCGGTGGGATCCAGCGGCGATTTTCCCCGGCGCCGGAAACGTGTGCGCGCGTCCGTCCGCGGGGGACCTCGTTATCCATCCGCGGGGCTGACGAAGGCGCGACGGAGCGGCGGCGTCGCGCCGGGGCGGACGAGCGCGCTCGCGCGACGCGCCCGGAAACTTTCCGCGTTAATGAAATTTCTTCGGGCGAAAACTTGGCCGCGCGGCGGAGAGCGAGGAGGGGGGGAGGGGGGGGGAGGGAAGGGAAGCGCGACGGGCCGAAGAAGCCGCCGCAAAACCGCGGCGCAGTTAACCGCAGGCGAAATAAAGGTGGGCGGAGGACGAACGGCCGCCGATTATCTTCCGCCGCGCGCGGGGACTCGCGGGCGCGAGTGTCGCGCTTTTTCAACCCGCGCGATCGCGCGCCTCGCGGGCGGGATCGATCGATCTCTCGCGCGAGGGATCGAGCGCTGCGACCGCGCGTGCGCGACACGCGGCGCTGCGCGGCTCCCCGCCGTCTGCTGCTCCGCTCCGCGCGTACGTCGTGTTTACGTTCGTGGACAGTCCTGCGAGAACGTCTGGCCGGGGCGGGACGTGATAAGGTGAGGGCCCAGTGATTCTTTGCCGCGCGACAAACCGCGGCGATAAGAGACCGAAGTTCGCCGACGGTTTCTTCTTACGTCGTTCTAACCTCTTCCCATTGAGAAAGAGAGAGAGATATGTCCTGTTTTTTTTATGCGTGGTCTACAATACGTGGAGTAAGCGTGGAGTAAGGAGTAAGGGAGAGCCCTAACTTCTAGCTTTTGGTGTAAGGAAGCTGAAATACGGGCATGATTGTTAAAATAATTGTAACACTGATTGATGGCATTTTGATTCACCGAGAGTAAGCCTAAGAGCTGAAGTAGGAGTGAGAAATAAAATGGATTTATTTCCTTACTCCTACTCCTTACTCCAGTTTACTCCATGTATTGTAGACCAGCCTTTACACTGCTCGCCGTAAGCTACGGTGAAGTTGGCGTAAACGCAGAGAGAACGAGCACGCGGCGTGTCTTCGTCTCATCAAAAGCGCAGTACACGTGCGCGACACTGCTCTGTTCTCATTACGCTTTGTTACTTTTTGTTTATCATCTCCACTGTTTCGTTGTCTGTTCAGGCCGTGTCAACGTATACGATGGCTCAGATCGACCCCAGAATCCCGGATCTGGCGGACACAGCCACTCCTTTTGGTGTACCGCTATCTGGAATATATAAGCGGTAATTTGCTGCGTTGCTCAATTCTGTTTGTCGTGCTCGCCCGTGATTAACTGACTGACCCCTGATAGGACGACGTAGAAATGATATCTCTTATTTACGTTACAGAAGTTACGCTCATGCGACAATCAAGGACAGGCTGCCGGTGATATTAACGAAGATCATCGATACGTTCTGTCAGACTAAAAATAAAATCACAGCTACATATGGACCGGTAATTATATATTGTGCCTCAATTTGTACAACAATCCATTTGTGTTTCGTGCCGTTGCACCTTAAAGTGCACGATTCACGTGCATTGTTAAATTACAGAGAGCCGAGGAGGATATCAAAGAGATCATAGGATTCATAGGTAAACTGAAAAATGAAATGGTTACTAACAAAACCTTAAGGCCATTGCGTTTAAACGAAACCGTTGCCAACGACGCAGAGGAGTGGAATAAATATTTAGAGCGTAGAACGTCAGTAGAGGGCAAAACGCCCATGTGGTTCAACACGATATGGCTGTATTGCGAGGGCTACATGTATCGTGCATTAGCTCAGGAAATTAGTTTGACGTAAGTTCCGATATGTTAAACGAAACATAAATTTGTCTAGAACAAAGCTAAAATGTCGTGTTGCAATGCTAGGAGTACCCTACACAGTTACGATCCATTTGAGTGCTACAAGCAGGATGACTTTATCAACTCACTCGACTCGATAGAATTAATAGCCTCGTATGTAAAAGACATAATATGCAACAAGGAATACAATGTGGAGAACTCGAAGAAGGACTTCCTGAAATTTTTGCAGTTGAGCCTCTGGGGTAACAGGTTGTACTATTTCTATCTTAGGGCCTGAAACAGCAGTCTTGTACTCTTAAGACAATGTTTTATGTCTTAAATCTTTGTCGTAAAGTAACGCACAATAACTGTCTTGTAACTTAAGAATATAAGACAGCCATTCTGCTCTTATTCTAATATACATCTGTCTTTCATACGATGCGTTATGACTGAATGATTTCTATATTTTGCAGGCATGATCTGTCCGCAAGTGCAGGTTCCCCTTGCAACAGCACTGATAATCCATTGATGACAGTAGAGTTCTTAAATAAGAATATAGTAGTGAATAATTCGGAGATTGTGTGGGACATTGTAAAGAAAAAGATGAAAGAAACCGATGATATTCATATAGTACTTGATAATGCAGGATATGAATTCTTTACTGACTTATGTTTAGCCGCTTTTTTGGTTACTATCGTACCTACGACCAAAATAACGTTTCACGTAAAGCTGTATCCGTGGTACTTGAGTGATACAACTAATCGTGATTTTCTCTGGACATTAGATTACATGGGTAGACTAAACGATCGCCCAAATATACAATTATTGAGTAAGACGCTCGAAAGTCTAATGGACCGTAAAATTTGGTGTGTTAAGGTATTTAATTTCTCATCCTCTAACTATTCAAACCGTTATGTAAAAGTATGTCAAGTATGATTTAATTTCCTATCTTTGTTAAACAGGAAGAACCCTATTGGACAGGACCGTACGATTTTACGCAAATGAAAGAAAAGGAGAAAAATATATATACTCAATTTTCCGACGCTAAATTAGTAATATTTAAGGGTGATCTGAATTATAGAAAACTTCTCGGTGACATGAATTTTGAATATAACACAAGCTTTGCAGCTGCGTTGGGAGATTTTCAACCTACGAATATTTTGAGCTTACGTACTATGAAATCCGATATTTGTGTTGGATTACCAAACGATATGGCTGAATTCTTCGAAGCGAATAAAACTAAACTGACAACCGGGGAGTATGGTCTTATTCAAGCAGCTATGTTTAAAATTTAAAGTATTATGAAATAAAACTTTAAATGCTTTTGAATTATTACTGTACAAATTATATGAAGTTACGTAACATGGTATTTGTACATATACAGAGATACATGAAAATATATATGTAAAACTGACATTCATGTAAAAAGAATCTTTATATTTGTTGTAACTTATTCATATTTATTCTGTATCATGTATGTTAATCATTGAATCTGTTATACCTCTCTTGTACATATTTCTATATTTATGTATATATGTATATACATAAAATATATTTAATTACAATTAATTTCTAGTACTTTACATTGTAATTTTCATCTACATGTTAAACTGAACTATTCTGTATGTGTTTGTCACTTTGTGGGATGTAAATTTTTCTATGACCAGTTTAGTCATTAAAATAAATGCTGCTGATTTATGACTGAGTAATGATATAAACATGACAAGGATTTCTTAATGTTTATAAGTTGCCAGTGTATAATAATGATCTTTTACAAGTTTAACAAGTCTGTACAACTTAAAAGTGCTTAGAGCATCGTAGTATTAAAATTTCTTGCTTCATCCTCGTTACAATTAAACAATATGCTTTTAACTGATTGAAGTTATCACAAATCTGTTGTTGATTGCCTATTCGGTAAGTTATGACACGCTCTTCATATATCAGTTATTATACAATTTAAAATATGACTTAATCTTACTTTTTTATACTTGTACATATAAGTCGAAGAGAAATTTAATACGAAGTGATAAATGTTGATTATTCCTTGTTTATTGTATTTTAATCGATATATTACATACGTATGTGCACATAAAATAATAAAGCAAGCCTGTTAGAATATAATACTACGTTTATACAAAGTATTCAAGTATACAAAATTAAATTCTCTACGTTTTGATTAAAATGATTTGACATTAATTTCATGCTTTCTATACTTTCAGTATAATAAATTTATCACACCAATTGTAAGTTGTAAATAAATTTTATACTAAATGTAAGAAACAATTGCAGCAAGTATGTCCCGTACGATTTAATATCTACACAATCGTACAATGATTAGCAGGCAAATTTTCTAAATTGATAATTGGACATTTTCAAGAAGTCGTTAGAATTTTTGATTCATAAGTTTTTGTAACAAATATTCAGATATAAAGATATGTTCTTCATTGTAAAACTTCAATTGCGAATAATGCCATGTATGTTTATAATTGATAGAATTTGAAAGAGATTTAGATCTCGCGCATAGCATCAGTTGCAATATTTATATTATCATCATATATATATAAAAAACATTGTATATTCTGTTCCATACTTAATTAGAATTTATTTAACTGTACTTGATTGTTTATATCAAAGTATCATGAAAGAGATAAGTGGCAATAGAGCACTCTCATCAATGGATTTTAAGACTATAATAGAAATCTGTGTATATCAGTACTCATAAAATGTTTAATAAAATTCTCTTAGTTCCTTGGAAATGTATGCTGTAGTAAAGACTACAAATTTTAACAATTATGACTAATTATAATCACCAATAATAAATGACGAAATAATTGTAATAATACATTTTAGTAAACAACTTATTTTTCAAGTAAATTACATGCATTGTAATTTAATTATTATTATCAATAGGAATAAGAAAACTTGATATATACATATATGTTTGTCCAGCAAACATATATTTCAGATGAAATAGTATTCTATGGATTATATGTATATTAGATAATTTCTCCAAAATTTTTAATATCCATTATAAAAAATTATAAAGGATATATACATTACTATTCAAGAATAACTGACAATAAATTAATGATCTTATAGATTATAATAATTGGAATCGAATGGTAAAACGAATTAACTAAAATTTCATGGTAGATAAATCATTATCATATGTAAAATGATGATTATAAATCATTTGATATCTCATATTATTGTAATCCAACATCTCTCTATTCATGTCAATTTAATATACATTCTACAAAGTTTATTTTGAAAGCAAATGCCAAATTCATAAAAAATTAGAAATACTTGAAAAAGAATTTATTTAGAATTAATTTTTAATAATGTTCAAAGTGACTATTGACATACATTCCCGTATTATGATATTTCCCTGATACTTTGCTTTCGATCAAATAAAAAAATTGAAAATAAAGTATAAAAGTAAGAATTTTCTACAAAATTCCTATCTCTTATGGCTGAGTGGCATCTACTTCTTAAATATATTCTATTTATATTCTTACTATCTATATATTTTATATGCATAATCCGTATATGAGCAATTAAAAAAGCACATGAATAAACAAAAATACTTGAATTTATATCACATTATTTTTTACAAACAACTACGCGTCTTTTACAATACATTTTATGCTGCTTTTAAAGTATAAAGGTTCTATTCAACAATAGAATAGGATCCAATATTCATAGTAAATCATATTATTAAAATTTATTGACAAATGATGATCTAAGAAATAACTTTCATAATAAATTATTTACAAGAATAAGTTTGGAAACAAGAGGATGGAATCATTCAGCTGTTTTTAAATCATGTTTGATGTATAAAGTATTTCACATATTTATTTTTATGAAATGTAAAAGTGCTTCGTTTTTTAAATCATCAAAAATGGACAAATAGTTTTTATGAAAAAAATAAGGAAGTTTAGCCCCATGCTTTTCTGACCCAATAAATCTCAAGTATTTCACAAAGGACATTAACAAATTTCAAAACATTGATTTTGTTGTTATATTTAATATAATCTCAGGATAAGCAGCTTGTAACACTATACATGGACTAATCTATATATGTTCAACTATCAGTTTACAATGAAATTATCACTTATCTAATAAATTTTGAACAGCATAAAAAATGTCGATAATCATCAATAACAAATAATTCATCACCTTTCATTTTAAATCCAAATACTTTACTGCCACATGGTGGTAATATACTTTGAGTACAATCTGTTTATATATATCAGAAGACATCGAAACAATAGGAGTTGTGCAAAGAATTTCTTTGTAACAAAAGTTACAAGAGTTAAATGATTACCAGAAATGTGGCACTTGGCGTAATATCGCACGAGGTCAGCCATATAAAACAAAATCATATCTACCAGTATTATCTACACGAGTGAAATAACTTTTAAAAAATATCTAAAATTCTTCTCTGTAGAAAGATTTAAAATGCATGTATAGATCCATTAAACTTAGAATGCTTAGAGGAACGCTATTTAAATCTAAATGACTCGCGGATGTAGCGCGAAATTTCATACATGATATAAACAAAGAGGCACATGTATATGCTATGTATATTAAAAATTAGGATTTAAAGGAATATATGTACATACTTGTATATTTCACAAAATTATGGCTAAGAACATATAATCCAGATTTCTCCAACACTACCACGCCCAATATCCATTTTGAGGCACCCCGCATAGTGTCCTGCGTCATCTTATATTATGTTTATGAACGTACATTCGTAAACACAGATGGACAAGCAAGAAAGTATAGATTTTAATACAATGTAGTCCGTCTTCCCGAAATTAGTGCTGTCCAGCACAAGGCATACATTCACGCTCCTTATTATTCCATATTATATTTAAATACGAATATTCGTTATATTCAGCTATCAAATATGTATTTAAATAACAATATAACGGAAATGAATAAGGTTCCTTCAAAGTTTCCTATATAATCGAATATGGATTATTTGGTCTGAATTATTTCATCTCGTGTAACAAGGATTGCATCTATTTTGTATAATTATCGCAACTAAAGGATATGCAAAATCATTAAGTTAATTATTCACATTAGTATAAGAATAATAGTATCGTATAATACATAATAGAATTTAATAGTAGAAAACTATTCCGCGTCCACGAAATTTAAGAGTCAGTAACTGTTACTTGGTGAATGCGGCAAATACAGCCCAAAGTACCGGGTTCGCGTTACGTTTAGCGGCTTCCGCTTCGAAATCGAGGTCTAATAATGTCCGTACTCTTCGCATCGCTACTTCGTAATCGTCGTCCGACAATGGCGCAAATGCATTTTCTAGTACATCAGCTGCATGAGCTAAAATAACTAATGCCAACGTTCGTCTATCCATGCGAGCGGCATCATTCACCCAACGGCCTAATACAGCTTCTTGGATCTGCAAGACAGAAAGTAGCACATGTCGTTGTTCCATTCATAGATTATGTAACTCAATTCAATCATCAGCATCAATATTCTTTCATGCAAAGTGTAGAACATATTTTTACCCCACACATTTCCCATCATCACTTTTTTATATGTTTTTACTCTTATGCCAAAAACTTGTGCAACAAACTTATGCTAAAATCTTCTGTTTAGTAAAATTAATAAAAAACATATAGAAATATCTAATATTATTACATAACGTTTATTTATAGAAAATCACTTAAAAGTTTATAGAACATGTTCCTCTTTCAACTTTTTAACAATACACAATAAAAAATTTCCTTAAAATGTATATATATATTATTATTTTCCTATGTACTTTATTACTAATTAGTAATAAATATGTCATAAACCAGATAGTAAATCATATACATATATACACACACATTATTAATCATATATGTTTACAAGCTGCTATCTTCCCACACGCCTCCTAATCAATGTAGAATATTAAAGCATACATAAAGATAAGATATTACTTCCGTAGATAACAACATTACATTATATATCAAGCATACAACGCTATTGAAATAAAACCCCAAATATTGACAAGTATTTTGTAAATGTATGAGACCACAGGTCGAATAATCAAAAGCTTTAGAATTAGAAAGCTTTCCCGAATCATAAACACACCACTTATTTTCGAAAAAATGCGGTAAGATCTAACGAACTTTCTATCATAAAACGGTAATAATATTTGTGATTCGGCAAGACGGTCTTAAAACAATACGTGATGTCACAGTACATACGTAAATATTTTTATCACTGTGAGATGTATTGTTACGATACAGGATGTGTTGTTCAATACGTCTTGTATGTTTAGATCTATACTGGTTTATATATAATACATTTGTGTATCCTCTCATTTTTTAAAAATGAGGATGGCACTTTATTTCACAGGCACGTTGTACACGTGTTGATCAAAAGGCAGTATTGGACTGTTACATTTGTCGTACAACAAATTTTTCAAACGTTTTGATTGCCTGCGGAATAAAACGTTCTCGAGTATCCAGAAATCTTCTTAGAGTTTTCTGGAACTACGAACTTGAAAAAAATTTCTAGTTAGAAATTTACTCGACAACTTTTTCTTCTTTTTCTTCTATTTTATATCTAGTTAGAAATTTTCTAGAAGTTTATAGGCAACCAACACGCTTGAAAAATTTGTCGTACAACAAATTTTTCCAGCATGTTGATTGGCTGCAGCATAAAAAATTCTCGAGTATCCAGAAATTTTCCAGCTTATAGTCAATCAACACGCTTTAAAAATTTGTCGTACGACAAATGTAACAGTACCCTTGCGTTGGTGTTACATTTGTCATATAAATTTTTCAAACACATTGATTGGTTCCAGGATAGTAAAGTTCTCGAGTATCTGGAAACATTCTATCCTACAGCCAATCAATGTACTAAAAAAAACCTGTGTCGCACGACAAATGTAATATCAGCCTCGCAGGCAAACATGGGGAGGTAAATAATTTACCTTTTTCACGAGACGGCTTTTGGCGAGGTTGTCGGTGAGCGGATGAGTTGTCATGTCAAACAGCAAGAAATTTTGTTTCTCCGTAGTTAAAACACCTTTCTCGACCAGATTTTTCGCCAGCCGTTCCCTCACATTTTTCAACTGATACCTCAACTTGAGGGGATTCCAGGTTTCACCTGCAACCATGCGAGACATTTTAGGACCGACAATCCGGTAACACGAGCACAGCGACGAGGGAACTGACCACTTAGATACTCTATCCAACTCTGCACAGTTTCAGGCGGGTCTGTGTCCTTCAAGTGTTTCAAAGCTTCGTCCAGCAGCACGTCTCCCGTAGGCGCGTCGTTTTTCAAGAGAAGCTTTCTGGCCAGCAAGCTCTTCTTACGCATGCCGGCTTTCTCCAGCTCCACCCTACCTCGAAAGGCGAGCTCCGCCAGGATGCAGCCTCTCAGTCCGGAACTTATACAGTCGTTCCAGAAAGACGTATATCCCTGTGTGGGGGGAAAAAAAGGAAAAAGCAGGAGTGTCAAACGCTGACCGTTCAGGCGAGATTCGCGGAGGAAAGCGAGAGTATCTAGGGCGCGAATAAAACCTCTTTGTCCTTGAGACCAAGCAGCAGGACCTCCTCCATGAGAGTCAGACGCGTCTCCTTGTCGGAGTCATCGTCGACGGTGGGATTGCAGTTGAGGTCCTTCTGGGAGAGGCAGTCCGTGTCCGGGCTCTGGCCGGACAGCTTGTCGTTGTGGACGAGGTCCGCGTTCTGGCCGTCCTGGCCGTGGCCGCTGCCACCGCCGCCGGCGCCGCCGCCGCTGCCGCCGCTGTTCACCACGCGTCGTCGCTGCACCAGCCCGTCGCCGCGATTCATCGTGCGGGGCGCAGAGGGTACCGCGACGGGAGCCACCACACACTCGGTACGAGTAGTCCGCGTGTTCCGCGGGGGCGGGTAGGGTAGGGGGGGTGGGGAAAGGGATGCACCGGGTGGTCGACGCTCGATCGAGCGGAGGAGGCCGCCCGTCTCAGACGGTGTCGTTATTAAAGGGAGCCGGCGCGGGCATCCGTCGCACGGTAAACACTGTGCCGTTGACGTTCACCCGAGGGCGACATGTCTCATCCAAGATGGCCAGGCCCCACTCGTTGACCTCGTCCGGCGCGCCGCGAATTACTCGCGATGCGGCCGAGTCGAGGCGGCGGACGATGACGCGCGGCGCGGCGCGACGCGACGGTCGTCGACGGCGACGAGCGACGGACGGGGACGTGCTCCGAGGGATGCCGTTGCGATGCCTCGGCTCGCCCGCGAGTCTGGGCTCTTCGTCGGGCCTTCCGCGTTTAACGTGTCACCGAGCTCACTCGCGTGCCACGAGCACGTACGCGTCGGGGCGAGACACACGTGCGAGATCGCGCGCGGCAGATCCGGGATGTCCGATTCGCACGGGGTGTCAGCGCGAGTGCCACGCAGAGAGACAGGCAGCAGAACAACGGGGAAGGACACGAGCGTAACATATATCGCACTCGCGGCAACAATCACGAATCAGCGAGAGCGAAGCAGTGTCGCCTGGGCTGCAGAGATCTCCCGTACCAACCGAACGGCGCGCGATTCTATTCGCCGGATCGACCCCGGACGGTCATTGGCTGCCGCGCGCGGCACGTGACCGCGCTAGAGAATTAAACGCCCGCCAATCGGCCGCCCGCTTGCCCGGAAGTGGCACCTGTGCGGCGAGAAGAAGGGGCATTTCCGGTACTCGGAACGCGCCGTACCTAGATACTTCCGCGCGCTGCGTCAACGGGAATACGTTTTTAAGGACCCCGATTTAATTTAATACCCGGCAATAATTTCCCTTTGCATCTTTTGTATTTAATTCTTTATTCGCGAGAAATTTACTTGCCAAATTCGAATCACTTGCTGGCGATATAATGAAGAAACCACGTAATTTTGTACAATTAAGTCTTGCTTTTTCAATGACAGTGGACAATTTTCAGCTGAAAATTTCATTCTTTCTTATCTGTTAGAAAAGGAGGCGTGAAGCTCTCAATTACAAGTTTTTTAATTGAAGCTTTAAGGGTTAAGTATCTAAATAGGGCCCGGTTTCACTAACGTCGCTTAACTTTAAGCTGAGCTTAATTCGTTCTTTGTTTCTTCCAACCGTTACTCTAGAAAGAGACAAACATGAATTAAACTAACAACAAGATTAACTTTAAGCGACGTTTGGTGAAACCAAACCTAAGTCAGCCGGCTTACTTCGATTGTCACATTTCTTCTTTTATTAATAGGATAGGTCTGAGATTTCGCGTGATCAAGTATGGCGACACGATAAGTGATCAAACGAATGCCGCCCCTTTTAGCATAGTAACAATCTTCTTGGTAACTGATATTGATCGACCACTTTGACAGCTACGACACAATGAAGTTACAAATTTTTACTTGAATTATTTTTAACGAAAAATCTATAACTTTGTTTTTCATCGACATTTCATGCACATAGCACGGAACACAACCAGAACGTGCACACCTGCGTTATCCGCTTAGTCCAAACGCGGACATTGGCTGCGTAGTTTATGTCCACGTTTTCAATATCTACAGAGGGCATATCGCGTTTGACGATCATTATAGAGACTTGTAATCAGAGACTGGCCATAAAGCCCGTATCGGATTGAGATTGAGATTAGATTGAAATTTGACCAATCACAGTAAAGTTTACTAATCTCAAGTTTAGTAACTTTAACTCTAATTGGTCAAAGTTCCAGCTAATCTTAATCTTAATCCGTAACCTGATACGGGCTTTAGAGTTCGTCAAAGTCCCGCGAGTGAGATAGAAGCATAGGCTCTCTCACTCCTCTACGATTGTAGAATCGTAGAAGAATTTACTCACTCGCAGGAATTTGACGAACTCTTAGGGCCAGTCTCTGGATTGCAGGGTCTCTAGAGGATCACGTAAACCCAGGCCGTGGCAGCTCTCAAATTTCTCCCTGCATCGTACGTCTGAATGCACATCGATCTTGTCGTCGACGATCGATATGTTACAACAAACCCGAGGGCATTTCGTTACACAATAACGCGATTGCTCGGCGGACGAGCTGACTATCACTGTCTATCTTCCGGTCAACAAGCAGCGAATTTTCCCGATGTCCAATCGCGATATCTTCGTATTTCATCACTTGTCTCTTCCGCCTGCCTATTTTTTTTTACTACAGCGCTTCATTCTATTATCTGTGCAATTATCGTCGAACGTGCGTTCACAATGAAAACGACGAAACGTGCCCAGGTGTTTCGCAAAGGTCTTATCTCTTCCGTGCAAATAACGTGCTTATCAAATGTTGAAAAAAAAAACATGTTAATATGCTAACGCTATCAAGACCGCGGCAAACGCTGTAAGAGCGAGCGAGAAACCACGGCTGCGATAATTTATAGGCATTTAAAGGCAATAAGTAAAATCTGTCGGGAGTTCCAGGGGGCAATTTTGATCGAAACGATTCCGAAAGCTTCCCATCGATTATTTTATCACGGACACTCGAACATTGTCGGAAACGATGGAGAAGCTTCCGGCGCTTTGCGAGCACGCGAAAGATCCGATTCCGATCGGACGCAGCCGTTCGATCGGGAAAGATATGAGATAATGATAATAATAGAGAAAAGTGCCCTATTATGAGATAGGCCCTAATATGGGACAGCGGAGTTTCACCATAGATTTATTGCCCTTGGAGCGAAATCTGTTTAGCGGAAAATTGCTCGTTGGATCGCGTGATCGTTGCGGAAAAAGATTTGTGATCGAATTTGGACGTTGAAAGCCTGCTATCTCGTATTAGAATCCCATCTCGTAACAGAGGACTTTCCTCTAATAGCCAAGCGGATCCCTTTGGCTCTTCGATTTTCAAAGCTGCGATCGGAAATTGGCAACCGGAAGGAGGAAGAGTCGGTCCTTTCCGGTTTGCCAGGATAGACGAGCGTTTTGCGGGAAACGAGGCGACCCGCGCGTGTTTCGGAAACAATCGGAAGCGGCCTGCGTCGCGGGAAACCGAGCGGAGGCTGGTTTACGCAACGCCGTGACCGTAAGCTTACGCCGGAATCGGTAAAAATGGAAGCAATCGCGGTCGACTATTCTCCTCGCTTTTAACGGTGATTGGACAATTTTTACCGATTCCGGTATAAATTAACAGTTACGGCCTTGCACAAATCAGCCTTGGCTCGGTCGAGGGCGCCGCTCGGGCTTGTCACGGTTCTGCCCCCGCTCACATTGCGACCGTCGAGGAGCAAGACGCGTTCGGCGCGACGTTCAGTTCAGTTCTCCGTGATCGCTCGATCGGGTGGGATCCGAGCGGGATCTGCTCGCACCTGCGCCGTCGCGTACCCGCGGTCGCACTCGCGTCGGCGAGGAGGGAAGAAAAAAGGGGAGAAACGAGGAAGAGATCAAGTAAATCTCGCGCGTCGCCGGATAACGCGACGCTGTGTCCACCGAGGGAGACGTTTCACCGGGAAGGGAAATCGGCGATAATGATTCAGCGGATTCCTCATTGAATAGATCAGTGCGTCGGATCGGCTATCAGGTGAGAGACCGGCGAAAGGAATTTCTACGGTCACTACCGTCGCGCGAGAATTCCTCTCCGCGAGTATACACGCGCGACGCGCCGCGCGTTAATCCCGGGATCTCCCGGGCGACGTAATTGCCCAGGAATGGAACGTCCGCGAGTGGCTTTCAAATGTCCCTCGCGGAGCGCCTCGGGGCTCGTTCAAGCGCGACTTTCGCTGCGGGGAAAATACGGATTTTCCGGTGCCGCGCGATTGCGCAGGCAACGTTTCGTTATCGGTACGGCCGATGCTTTTGTTTCGATCGCGTCAATCCCCGCCCGAGCCGTGTATTAAGTGAAGTAAGGCGCGTTTCGTCCCAGAAATCAAATCCCCGAGGCAGACACTTTAGTATTCGTTAATTTACTTGACTAACACCCGGCTTTTCATTTTCTCGCCGATTGTTAACCAGAGGTTAGTCGACTCTCTGTCTCTTCTCAGGTAATAACATAGAAAAAGATGGAGGGTCGACTAACTTTCCCTAGTAGCACAGTACATTGGCTAAACATTGGCCCAGTGTCGGTTTTATTAGAAATGCATCGGCCGATGTTGTCCAACGTAAAGCCAATATTGGCCATGGAATACATGTAAATATTACACAATAATAATTC